CTCCCTTCACCCTGGCCAAAAAGGCTAAAATGACCAAAGAAAAAGAGGGAAACAGCTGAACATGAGAGGTTTTTGGACAAAGTTTGTGTTTTTTCCATTGTTTAAGCACTGCTTCCAGCCAAGAGTGATACCATATATCCCTATAGCTGCAGAAAATGCTAACATTGTTATCTTTTTACAAAAAACAGCTAAACATGACAGATTTTAGGACAAAGTTTGTGTTCTTGATTCTTTAAGAACCGATTCGAGCACTGGCACCGTTTCAAAAGTACTGGTTTGGTACTGGTATTGGATAAAACCTAAATGATACCCATCCCTAGTAACGAAGTAGTGAAAATTCCTGTCATTCCCAATGATCTACACCAGAGTGCTGATTTTTGTCTGGACCTGAGATTTTTCTGTGTTAGCTGTGAAAACTTTACAATGTTTGCATCAAATTTCTTCTTGGTCTGTACGAGGAAACTGTTCTGGATGTATTGTGATTTGTATTTCAGCATACCTCTGCACCTTTAGCGAGGGCAAAGCCTCCACCAACCAGCAGGGCAACTTGCCACGGCATGGAGGCCTGAAACTCTTTCCAAGAGATCATCGCCTCTGAATTGAGAGAAAAAAACATATTTACTGGGACTGATGCTGAAAAACAGACGTGTTAAATGATTGTTAAAACTTTACTGATTGTTGGTATTCACACATTTCTTTGCAGCCTCAAGTTTTTATATCTCTTTTATGTAAAAGCTTGATATGCATAGGACGCAATAACCAAATAAGTGAGATTAATGTGGTGTAGGAAAACTGCATTAAGAAGAATTAAGAAAAACCAACCTGAGTAAATCTACAGTATTTAATCCTGACCCATTATGCTAATTCCTGCTCCTTATTCTTGGAGCAGTTTTGCATGACTCAGTTAATAATTTTTATTTATCTCATAGTGGTCTGTGGTGTAGCCCCTTGGTTTAAAGTTTGCCTGAAACAAGGTTTCAACTGTAACTGATTGGTTGCCCTTCATAAACAAAAATGTTGAGAGTACTTGTGTTAGCCTTCAACATCCGACTAAACAACAAGCCACATTTCATACATATTTCACACCATATTTTCTGGAGGGTCCGTGAGCAGGTACAAAGAAGAGGAGGACGCCCAGCACCAGAGCCACAGTGGCATCTGTGATGTAGTTGGATTTACTGAAAAACAGAAAAAGGGATCAGCTGGGTCATGGTTCATTGCTGCTGTGAAAAATCATAGAAATGCATGTATCCCAAAGAATCTGGTCTTTGTCACTGTATCATTTGTATCGTATTGTTTGTGGGAATAATTTTGAATAATTTCCAAGGCAATAAAAGAAGGTTGTGACTCACTGAGGGAAGAGGGAAGCCCAGCCGGGTACAAAACCTGGAGATCTGGTCAACCACAACAAAACCATCACCACAAAAACCACCCCGGTGAAGATCTCCTGAGAACTGGAGAGAGGGAACGAATGAATGTGTGAATGCAAAAATTATCATAGGAATGTCTTTCTGTCAATAACTGATCAACAAGTAAAATAAATGACAGCATTGGCATGACAACTGACCATCTAAGGTACTGTAAAACGCTGTGGATAGTTAAATAAATACATGAATAAAAATATAGCTCTTTAAATGTGATATATATTTATATATATCACATTTATATATATATATATATGAATGAGCTCCTCAGTCCTTGTGGCCATTGATCAATGGTCAAACAATTTGCATATTAATGGTCATGAAGCTGACATCACAGTCCACTGTCAGGCCGTGGTGCCAGTTTTGATCATTATGCAGAACTATTTATAAGGTTGGGGAAACCTGCAGTCAACTGAAACTGAAGAAGTCCCTTGGATGACACTGAAAACGCTACGTCCAGATTCTGGGATTTCTTAGCTGGATGATTGAGCATGCATTAAGACCCAGTGTAAATCTCTAACCAACATCCTGTGTCACCAACACCGCATAAATGACCACGCATGAATGAATAAATGATCAAACTGATTACTTTGATGAATAAACGAGTGCGTAAATAAACGAATGAGAGATCACCTAATGGCTCCCAGCTTCTTGTACTCGTCTTCCAGCACCTTTTTCACCGCCCTCTCTCTGTCAGACTGCTCTCCCCGACACTGCCACAGGAACTTGAAGCTGCATGAGACAGTGTGTGTGTGAGTGTGTGTGTGTGTGTGTGTGTGTGTGTGTGTGTGTGTGTGTGTGTGAGCGAGAGAGAGAAATTTCATTTTAATCTTGCAAATTTTACTATTTAAGTCAAACTGATGATAAAATTCCATCTTTGCACTAAAATAATCTGGAGTAAGAGAAACACTTTGTATGCAGGAGTGATTTGTTTTCCTGGATCTTCTTGGATTCTGGAGACAGAGACTGTGTCTACTTAAAGAGAGGCTTAAAAATGTCGTTTTTGTTAAATCTCTTGTTAGATCTAGATCAGGTGACCATGAACCAAGCTTTAGTTATGCTGCCAACTATTCCCATACTTCCCATCATGCACTGAGGACTGTAGTTGTCTATGTTCTCCAGTTTAGCCTTCTCCTCTCTTTTATCCTCACTTCCTAACCAGTCACAGTTGATGGCTGCCCCTCCCTGAGTTCTTCCTGTTGTTAGTGATGCCTGCTCTGTTATGTCCTGAAGTCATACTACCAAATATAAATGGAGATGCATATAAGACACTTTTTCTGGGAATACTGCAGATTTTTGGAAGATGCTTTGGCATTCTTCTATTTGGTGAGGATTGGACTTTAAAAATAAAAATCGTACCTTTAACCTATTGTAAATGCGGTAGCAAAACATAATACAAACTCTCAAATAGCATGTATATGTTCTTTAGTTTTCTCTGAAAAGCTGCCGGAAACTTCTGCTTAAGTTTAAGTTTAAAGGTAGTCAGACATTTCTGTTAAAGATGCCAACAACTGATCCATCATCAGAGCTTTGAACTATAATAAATCTTCACAACAATAAAACACATATATAACACATGTGATGATGCTTCCACTAATTGATTAATGCAAAGAAATCAGAATAGGATGATGAAACTGATAAAAGAGAAAAAATAATGGAGAGTGCACAAAGAGTAGTCAGAGTAGAATAGCACTGATAGCAGGTGATTGGCTCTGCAGATGGTATGCTGACACTCACTCTGAGCCAATGAAGAGCCAGTACAGCCAGAACCATGTCAGCAGCAGCATGATAACACTGATGGGCAGGCACAACAGGAACCAGTTGGCAAAGTTGATGCTGTTGCAGTCTGGGTAAACGCTGAATGTAAAGACAGTGGATTCAAAAACATTATTTTTAAAGGAGTCTTTGAATCATTATTTCATTCTAGCTGTGCAGCAGACTGAATTAACCGAACACTGAAGGCAACATTAATCCCACCACTGCCAATATGTCTCATTAACATACACCTGATGTGAGACACTCACTGGTTGAGGTACTCAGAGAATATGAGGTTAGCAGAGGTTCCCGGCAGCGTGGTGATGCCGCCAATGCTGGAGGAGTAGGCGATGCCGATGCACATGGCTTTGCATAGCATCCGGCCCTGCCGACGCCTGCAGGAGGCCGTGGGTACGTTCTCTGCAGCCTGTAAGACAAAATGCGGAGAAATCAAGACAGAGAAGCAGAAATAGCGGAAGTAGCAGAACATGTATGAGCACTGGAAAAATATCAAAGAATAATTTTATTCTGTGTTTGTTTGGTGCTTTTTTGCACCTCGTCTGCTGCAGGCTGCGACTCTGCTGGTATTTGAACAGAAGTGAAGGTTTCTGTGGGGACATCTGGCTCTGTGCTGTCACTGAGAGAGGAATAAGGGATTCAACTGCTCTTCAAGCACATCAGAAACAAAAACTTAGAACACCCTGAACCCAGAGGGCAGCAGTGAATCCCCATGCTTTACATACCTCAGAGCTTCTTTATTTTTTGCAGTACAGTTGTTGATTTCTGGAAAAATGACAGATTATGGTCAGGGCCACAAGTTCCATCCTACTGTAAGCTCAAAAACACACAGCTATCTCACACTTTTAATTATATTTTGTGCTTTTATAAAGTAAAGTATGTTGTCTGTGCAGGTACCGTCCAGCTCCAGGGTAGGGTTGTCTTCACCAGAGTATCCCTCTTCATTCGCCTTTAGAATCTGTTGGAGAACAGCATCTACGATGGGCATCACCATGGTAACAGCTGATGTGTTTTGGACCCACATTGAGAGGAAGGCACAGCCGGACATGAAGCCAAGCAACAACCTGAAGGAGACAGTGGTGTGTTCAAAAAGCAACAATGGAGCCTTCACACTTAAATCTCGAAGAAATACAAAATTTGAATCCAACAGCAGAGAACGAAGATGCTCACCAAGCAGGGTTGACCCCCACCAAGGTGACGAGCCTCAGGGCGACTCTGCGGTGGAGGCCCCACTTCTCGATGGACGTGGCGAGGCAGACAACACCCACAAGCAGGAAGTGGAAGTTATTAAAATACTCCTTTGCCACCTAGAGGAGAAAAGGGATTTTAGAACAGAGAGTGCATCTACAGGGTAATTGAGGAAGAGGAGTTAAAATTTAAGCCCATTTTCAAATTTGAGTTTGTGGCCAATGAATATGTTATACAGGGAGTTAACAAGTAACAGATAAACCAATTAAAAATACAACTTTAAAAAGATAATAATTGGATGAGCATAAAGAAGAGTCCAAGTGTCCAAGAATAAAAACATTTATTTGCAAATAAGAACAAGGCCTGCTCTGCTGTAGGCCCACAAGACGCAGGAGGTGCCATGCTGGTCACTTGCAATGTGTGTCAGGCATCAGTCAGGGGTGGAGACCCTTGCAGTCTGATCGTTGGCTTTCGAGGTTGGGTATGGGGACATGGAACATGACCTCTCTGGTGAGGAAGGAGCCTGACATAGTGCATGAGGTTGAGACACACTGGCTTGTTTTAGAGGCTTCTGGGGTGGATGAGATTCACTCTGTGTTCCTAAAAGCTTCAGATGTTGTAGAGCTCTCTTGGTTGACATACCTTGGAACACTGGATGGAGAACTGGGATTGGCAGACCGAAGATGACGTGGCTCTGCTGGCTTCATCAGTTGGTGGCCTCACACTGGAGCACTGGACCAGTTTGCAGCCAAGTGGCAGAAATGAGAATCCAGAAAGGGTGGCGTGCTCACTCTGGATTAGGGGTGACTTGCTGCCCCAGGTGGAAGAGTTTAACTATCACAGGGTCTTGTAAATGAGTGGGGCGAGAGGGGAGTGAGAGATTGAGGGACTGTCTGTAGTGATGCAGATGCTGTACTGGTCATTCATATTAAGGAGAGAGGTGAGTACACAAGCTACCTATGGTCACAAGTTCTGGATAGTGACCAAACAAAGAAGACTGTGGATACAAACGGCAAAATTAACTTTCTCCAAAGAGTGGTTGGCATCTCCCTTAGAGATAGGGTGAGGAGTTCAGTCATTTGAGAGGGGTTCAGAGTAAAACTCCTAGTCCTCCATCTCAAAAGGAGCTACTTGAGGTGGCTCGGGCCTCTGATTAGAATGCATCCTGGGCCCCTACTGGGTGAGGTGTTCTGGGCGTGTAGCACCGGAAGGAGGCCCTAGGGCAGGCCCAGGCCACGCTGGAGAGATGATGTTGCTCAGCTTGCCTGGGAACATCCATCCATCTATCGCATATGGATGGATGGATGGAAGAAGAGGGCCGTTTTAGGATTTTTAAGATCACACGAGGGACAAGCAAATTGGAAAAGAAGCAGGAATATGCTGAAAACTTCAGGTGAGTGTCAACATTTGACACTCACCTGTAGGCAGAACCAGAACCAGAGCAACACATCTGCTGCTGTGCATTCATAAAGAATAACAACTCTCAACGCATCAACACTTTGTCCTGTGTAACTGTGATTGCTAACAGAAGGACTCACATTGGAGGACGACATGATGCCAAAGAGGGGGAAGAGAATGGCGGGGAGCATGGCGGTCATGGACAGTGGAATCACCTCCGTCACCCAGTATATCGCCATCAGCATCATCACAAAGCCACATTCTGCCTCCTACAGGGAAAACACATTAAGATGATTACACACACACACACACACACACACACACACACACACACACACACACACACACACACACACACGTGCAGAAGTTAGAGACAGTAAACTAGAGTCACTCAGCAACCACTTCAAAACACCTTCAGGTAATTATTTGGGTTGTTGAAGCATTGTCTAAATGTAGCTTGATTCTTATTGTTATACTTCTGCATGTATGTATCTCTGCTTTTGCAGATCATTTCAATGCTGCGCCTTTTTTTAAACAAATAATACAAATTCCAAAAAAAACCCCAAGAAAACTGGATCTGTACTGAAATTATCCAGAAAGAACCAGTTTTGTTTATTCAGTTTTTTTAAATTTAATATTTTTATGGATAAATTTCACAGTATTTTATACTCGTTGCATTTTCAAAAACAGGATCGTTACTTTTTGTAAAACACATTTGAGGGAAGTTTTCATTTTCCATTACTGCATGCCCTCACACATCAAAATGATTTAGCCTAAGCAGTAACTGAGGAAAGGCAATGCTAATGGTGTATCAATCTTTCCTCAGGCACCGCTTCTTCTACACGTCCTGGGGGAGGGAAGCTCATCTCCAATTATCCTTTCAGCACACGCACCACTCTTTGGTGAGCTTTGTGGTTGTAAGCGGTGCTGTTGCCATACCACGTGGTGATGCGTCCAGTGAGGATGCTCTCAAAGGCACAGCGGTAGAAGGCCCCGAGGATGCAGGAGCTCTTGCCGAATATCTTCAGTCTCCTGAAAAAGAAGAAGCGCTGCTGCGCCTTCTTCACTGTTTAGTTTGTGTGTACTGACTATTGAATGCTGAGCTGTAATCTACAAACAGCATTCTCTCTGACGTGTCTCTCTTCTCCGGGTGCGAGAGGGCAGTATGTAGTGTCAGGGCTGTGGCATCATCAGTGGGCCTGTTGTGGCAGTATGTAGCGGTTCCAGTGAGTCGGGCAGTACAGAGCAGATGAAGTCCCCGACCAGCCTTTCAAAGCGTTTGCTCATGATGGGGGTCAGAGATACCGGTCGCCAGCCGTTTAAGGAAGAGGAAGGAAGAGATGGTGGAGGGTTTGGGTACAGAGACGATGGTGGCCGTTTTGAAGCAGGCTGGGACTACAGACAGAGAGAGGGAAAGGTTGAAGATGTGTGTAAACACTCCAGCCAGCTGAGCCGCGGTTGATTTGAGGACACAGCCGGGAATCCCATCTAGACCAGTAGCTTTGCCTGCGTTCACTCGTCCTCAGACACAGTGTGCACGCTGACATCATCCATGACGCGCACACTTTCCGGTCTCATGGTGTTCGCTGAGTTTAAGCTTTTGTTTGAGGCCTGTGTTTGGGTCGTCATCCTGCCTGCCACACAGCGCTACACGACAGAAGCTCTACTTGGAACTTTGTTAAGATCCGCCAATGCAGAATATGATATTTTGCCATTTTTAAAGGGGTCTTAAACGTTTGATCAGTACTGTAGTCTAAATTCAAATTTAGACTGAAATAAAGTTTAGATTCCCATGTACTAATATAATTAGCTCAAGGTTGCCTTTCACAAGAAAAGCTGGTAGAAACAAACACCTTTTACTTGCTTTCTACTTTCTTCTAATTTGCAATCCTGTTATTTTTTAAACCTAAATTGTAAAAAATGACCTTGAAGTATCATTTTATGTGTTTTCATTTTATGAAAGTATATAAACTTTTATTTATGGCCATTATTAGAAAAGGATCAAGGGTCAGCTGGCACTATGCACAAAGGTCTGTTAGCCGTATTTATAGTGACGGGAAAAAGTGTAAAAGATCTCGTAGTGCTCAGAGTTGAAAAAAGTGTATAAGTACAAATCCATGACTGGCTGATAGGAAAGCAAATAAAGAGCGAACGTAAACTTAATAAAGCACAGAGACTGTTCAGATCATCACAAAAACTCTACAATAACTACAACCTACTGAGATCATATCATAAAGTTTATGTGCTATACAAGTAAAACTAGCAGTGGCAACATATTTCACAATATGCAAATAATGATAGGAGCTGCTTAAAAACACTGATCAGTGCAATTTCAGTTAAATGAAACCGTTATGGAGGGGATACAGTTCCCGTCATATTTGTGCACACACCTTTGTTCCGATGACCAGAGGAAGAGGGAGCAGCAGCAGCGGCGTGAGGATGATCAGGAGAAGGCTGTGATAGTTCCACAGTGCTTCGCTCAGCTTCGACAGCATCCTCCGGTCGCACATCAATTTCGTCTCTCCTGCAGGATCCTACTGTGACCCCGCAGTTATTTGGCTGTGATATGTTAGAGAGGGTAATAATTGACCGAGAATGACAAGCTGGAAACCAGTTTGGGGAAGTCATCAAACTACTGGAAGCTTCATTTTACATTTCCATATCAGTTTTCTTGAGCAAGATACAAAAGCTCATTAGTAACTGTTGGTTATCTCTCCACTAAGACAAAGGTCAGATGTTAATGTGACAAGGCTTTTCATTTATTTCAAGCGTGGTGCTTGAAAGGGTCAATGTCAGTAGTTTCTCTGACATAAAAAACAAAATATAAAGCATGTAAAGATACTTATTGAGAATAATTTTTACTAAAATGTGCATAGCAAATATACATACACGGACCTAATAAGTTGCTTCCAGCGTGCGATATGATATTGTATGTGTACATGGTTTGGTGAGCTCTAAGGTTTTCCTCCTTCAGTTCATGGGGAAAACTCTTTCATTTACCCTGATTTTTAAGGATTTATCTATTTGATCCTGGTGTGAAATATTTAGACACAATATTTATTTGCTAGAATGTCGACTTGCATCATTTCCAGTCCTCATTATATTTTAAGAAAGAATAAAGACTGTTATATAATTAATGTTGAATATTCAGCAACAATTTAAAAGCAGGCACCAAAAGTATGCATTATATGTGAGTATATGCCTAAGTCACGAAACTTACTAGCTCATTGTGTAAAGGTGAGTCTTAATCTATACTCCAAAGAACATGCATCAGCATGACATGGCACCTGCTGACGGTAGTATATTTCTCTTGTGTCTGGCTATAAGTGTGAGAATTCCAACAACTTCTGCTATCTTTTAACTTGTTATCTTGAAAACCTCAGAGATCCATTAAAGTTTAGCTGAGTTTATGTCTGTTGCTTTTGACCCACAACTAATAACCAAACAAAATTCAGGAAAATATAAAAAAAACCCAACTTTCCAGATGGAATGTGCTGACAGCACACAAACCACTTCACTTTATAAGTTAGACTTTAATGTCATTAAGAGATTTTTGTGCAAAACTCTTGAGTCACCCTCATTTCTTTCTATTTTGCTTTCAATGAGCCAGAGCTGAGATACAGTTCCCCACCTTTACATTTCAAAGCTTTTCTTTGGACAGTGGCGGCTGTTTCACTCAGTCCAGTCCTTGTACCTCACTATTTTCAGAGGAATGTTTGCTTTGCTTATTAAGCCACACTGACCTATGAATCATTCAACCATTAAAAAAGCCACCTAACTCAAAGAATGAACCTTGAGTTAGGTTGTTTGGCCTGCTGTTCACTGAAGCCTCATCAGAACAGGAGGAATACGGGTAAGAATAAAAATCTGAGGTGTGGTATATTATAAAAGCACTGGACTCTACTCCAAATATAACAATTCTGGTTGAAATTGCTGTTAGTATAAATGTTGGAGGTCAGGAAAGAGATACAGCACTGAGTGTCTGCTGTCATCCATAAAACACGGTGGAGGCTTTATCATAGTTTGTGTTGCATTTCAGCCAGTGGTGTTGGAGATCTTGTCCAAATAATTGGAATAATGAAAACATACTGTAAGATGTGCACTGTGGTCGTATGCAGCCAGTTTGCTTTAACTATTCATTAATTTATTTAGCAATTGAATGAAGTCATCTTTGAGTACCAAGCACATGAACCTGTGTGATAAATCTGTCCAGGAAACAGAATTCTCCAAATCAGTGGAGCTGTTAAACATATACAGCAGTTCACCTGTAGCAGGAAGGGTTATCTTTGTTTCCTTAATGAGTTTGCGTATTTATTTTTAACCTCTTTAGAGGACAAGATGTTGTTGAGTCTGTTGGAGCACAGAATGAAGTCCGCGGAGCTCGTGTAACCACAATGACGTCACTGTAGATGCATACTTCAAATATATGAAGCAAGATATATGGAATCATATAGCAAAGAAAAAAATTATAAATAACTGTAAGTATGTTTTATACTTTAGATTCCACCCTTTGCTTTGTTGACAGTGCTGCAAACCCTTGGACTTCTCTCAATGAGCTTCATGACATCGTCACCTGAAGTGGTTTCACTTCACAGGTGGGCCAGTCAGGGTTCATCTGTGGAATTTCTTGCCTTCTTAATATGGTTGGGACCATCAGTTGTGTTGTGCAGAAGTCAGGTTGGTACACAGCTGACAGCTCTATTTGACAACTGTTAGAATTCATGGCATAAACCATCAAGCGTTACGATGAAACTGGCTCCCATGAGAACCGCCCCAGTAAAGGAAGACCAAGAGTCACCTCTGCTGCTGAGAATAAATTCATCTAAGTTCTCAGTCTCAGAAATAGCAAGTTAACAACACCTCAGATTAGAGCCCAGATAAACGCCACACAGAGTTCCAGTAGCAGACACATCTCTACATCTACAGGACAATGAGCCCAAACACACCTCCATGCTGTGTCAGGGCTATTTGACCAAGAAGGAGATGGTGGAGTGCTACGCCAGATGGCCTGGCCTCCACAGTCACCTGACCTAAACTCAATTGAGAGGTTTGGGATGAGATGGACCGTAGAGCGAAAGGTCCAACAAGTGCGCAGCATCTCTTGGAACTTCTTCGAGACTGTTGGAAAACTATTTCAGGCGACCACGAAAAAATGCCAAGAGTGCGCAAAGCAGTAATCAAAGCAAAGGGCGGCTATTTGGAAGAATCTAAAATATTAAACATGTTTTGAGTTATTTCACATATTTTGTTTACTACACAATTCCATATGTGCTCATTCATAGTTTTGATGCCTTCATTGAGAATCTACAATGTAAATAGTCATGAAAATAAAGAAAAACCATTAAATGAGAAGGTGTGTCCCAACTTTTAACTGGTAGTGTGTGAGTTTAAGAGTGCTGTTTGCTCACCTCTAGCAGCTTGGCCACCTCAGGATTGAAAGGTGCTGTTTTGATGTAGTGAAGGAAATGGGGAAGTGAAGCCTCTGCTCCTGGCTGACCGTAATCTTGATGGTCTTGATGGTCTCACTCAAATAAAATCCCGAGCACCACTTTAAATCACTCCACAGTCACCTGAACCTGTTGAACATTAACACTGAAACCACAGACTGTTTATGAAAGATGGACATCATGACATCACCCATTGTTTTTTATGAACCAGTACTGGGGTTCACATTGGCCGCCTACTGTAGTCCGTGTGGGTCTGTCTACAGAGATGCTACACGAGTTCCCCCTCAAAAAGCCTCAAATCAGAGCGCATACTCGAGTTCACCACCCTAAACATGTTGCAGCTGTTTAGCTCACAACATCTGAATATTTGTGGGGAAGAAACTGCTTATTAAAACTATTGTATTAAAATTACTGTGACCAGATTTCACGACTGAAATGTCCAACAGTGCAGTCCGGAAATTATATAATGGAGGTCATAAGTCAAAGACCTTGCTTTAAAAAATGTTTCATAATAGGTTATGCAACATTATGCTTGAATTAGTTGTAACCTCACTATGGTTTAGTGAGGTTTTCCAAAAACAATACTTTGTTGGGAAGATACCTCTCCAGGAGCTCTGCGTGTTTGTTACATAACGCTGAACACTTGAGAGAGGATTTGATTTTTGGCAAGAATTCTTGGTTTGAGTAACGATCTCCATTCCTGGCATTCAGAAAAGTTTCTGATGGAGTTGCACGTTTTAAAATAGAAGTTCATAGAGGTCTATGTTCCTGGAAGTGGGTTTACTCAGTTATTTGGTAAACTTTCCCAAGAACAAGTTGCGTATTCCTGAAATTATACACACAGTCTTCCAAGATCTTCTTCAGGTTTGTCTCAGAGTTACTGGATAACTTGCTTGCTTGTGTCTCTGCTGGCAAAGTATTTAAAGAAGTTGTGAAATGTGTATTTGAACCTTGACTGTCCTATTTCCTGGAAAGTTGCGGATATTCATTGGAAAAAATTAGACTGAATATTCCACAGTCCTAATTTATTCATTTTTGAAGAGCTGAAGAAATTTTAAATGTGGGCAAAAGTGCAGACGTTTGGAACCAGGCAGAGGCATTTCTCTTTGTCTCCATGTCATTAGTGGGGTTAAACAGTAGGAGCTGACATTCCAAACTCTACTTCTAAATATTTAGGATTGTTTAGGATTTATGAGATCGTGTGTATGAGTGAAAACACTTGTTCAAGAAAATCCCCAGTGCCACGTAAAATATGCTAAAACCTAACAAAATGTATTTACTTACATTCTATTCAAATTTAGATTTTAAATTAAATACATGTACAAGCAATGTGGACACACAAATTGAAATGTACAAATTTCAAACCCTAAAATTATTGTATGATTCTTGAAAACACCGATCAGGTGCTACAGTGTTGCTACAACATCCCTGGTAGGTCGACTCATTTTTTAACGGCGATACGAAGATCAGCTGGTGAAAACCCCAGTATTCTGCTCCTGATTGTTTTTTTCTTCCAGGGACACAACCTATAAACACTTTTCCCCAACATATGTTATACATTATTTATTCCTTTTATTTAATTTAATGTATTTTTTATTATTAATAATTATTCATTTATTTACTTTGCTCAGTTCAATGCAACAATGCTCTCTGCCTTCTTGCTTGTTTCAGCCATCATAACTCCTGATACTGATTATCAAATAGCCAATATCAGCTGATAACACTGATGACTCAGCACAGCACTAATTCCCTGCTAGTGCCCTGTTTTTGGATCTGATATTAGGCTCATAAGACAATAAAAATGTTTGTAAATCACCTGCAGACAACAGGGGGAAACAGATTGAATTTGAATCTGTATTTCTTACTGATGCTCATCAGGTAAAGACAGAATCATTAAATGCTTTGTAAACTTTAGACCCTCCTACCAGCCATCCACTGAGGTCCAGGGGATATTCCAGGAAACATGAAAATATTTTCCAAAGAGCTGGTCAGCAAATGCTGCTTTTGCACCTGCTGTTCTCTTATCTGGAGCATAACTTGTTCCAGAAAAGGACACGTCAGCAGCAAATGTTTCCATGACGATGCATTTTGGTAAGAAGTACAAACACTTCTAACAGTGAAAACCCACTTACATTAACCCTGAACTTGCTAAGCCCCAAATTCTGCTTCACTGTGCAAGTTTTCTTTCTTCTTTCTTTAGTTTTGATTATAAAAAGGGCTTTTTGTTGTTGAGAAAATCCAAAAAAACTCTTTTGTGCAAGGACTTTTAATTGACAGTCAACTTCTGAACAACTACAGCTCTTCTACTGTGTAATATTATTAAAGTTTGATTTGGTTTTGACTGGAACAGCAACTTGAACTGTTCAATTCAAACTGAAAGATGTAAGAAATGAAAGCAGAGTAAAGATCAGCTGAAAGGAAAGTAAATGAGATGGAGAAGATCTGCATGTCACGATATGCTGGGAGAAAGTAGCTAAAAGCAGACGCCACCGGCACACTGATGCAAACAGAAGAGCAAACCTTTACTTTTGGTCAAAGACAAATTCCACAAACACAGAAATCCATGAGAATGAAACGGCACATCTTTAACTTACAGAGAAAACAACATGAAGAAACCAACACACTGTGGACTGAAGGAATAAATACACAAAGGCTGATTAGGGGAATAGGGAACAGGTGGGTAAATAAAAAAACACAAGACAAAGGAAGTAAAACTAAATCCAACACACGAAAGACAGAAAATACTAGCAAATTAAAATGGGAAGTAACATAACAAAGAGACAGAGGGTGCGTTCCAAATGTTTCTCCTATCCCCTATTCCTAACCTCTTTCCTCGCAATGACCTCGATGAAAATGTCATCGAGGTCATTGCAAATGAAGAAGAAGAGTAGTGCGCTGAGAACTGGAACAGCCTTACACTAGCCTCTCCTTCTACAGCCTGACATCTGTTATTATGTAACGACAATGTGCAGAAGATGGACCACAAAACTCTTATCGTACTTCACCACAGCGCTTTCTTACCCCGCTGTTTTATAGAGGTCATATAAATGAGAACAGCCTGTGGAAAAATATCGCTTCAGTGCAAAGGTTGGAATTGTAAACAAGAAGAAACATGCAGGTCCAGAAACCTGCAGCAGCTGAATTCCTTCTCCTGACCTTAAAAAGCTGCTGGATTTATTAAAGAGGCTCCGTGTTGTGACTGAAAGCTATAAACAGGAATATTTTGGCAGCTGGCCTTGTAGCATATGTATTTGTAAAAATTTCACTTTTAGGTGGAGAATATTTAAATGAGTCACAGAAATGAGAATTAAAAAGTCTGTGACACAGAATTTACTGTAAATTGCATAAGGAAAAAAAAGGTGGTGTTAAAACTTGGAGAGTTTATTTTCAGGAGGAGGAGATGTTATCAGAGTGCACAACTGGTACTTTGCATGGATGAACTTTGGCTCTGTCCTAAAATTCTTGGCTCCTCACTGACACAGTATTCATGAAACGAAGCAGATATGTAGCTACTGAAATGAGCTTCTTTTTCTCAGCAGTGTGCACGCAGTGACTTCTGCTGAGTCTGTAACAAATAAGGGAGTCATTGTGTTAGATTAATGCTTGAATGTTGCAATGTGGTATTAATGGGCGATCGTAGCTCAAGAACTGGCAGTTCGTCTTGCAGAGGTGGGACCAAGTCATTGTTTTGCAAGTCTCAAGTAAGTCTCAAGTCTTTATCCTCAAGTCTCAAGTCAAGTCTCAAGTAATGTCAGGCAAGTCAGAATCGAGTCTCAAGTCTGAAATTTTGAATTTCAAGTCCTTTCGAGTCTTTAAAAAAAAACACGAAAAAAGCATGTTGCAGTTATGCTAAATGTAAATATTAGACCATGTAATTTTTAAAATCTGTGTTTTTCTCAACACATGACAAAATAGTGAACTTAGAAAATATACACAAATTGTGAAATTGCACCTCTTTAAAATGCAGCTCAATTAAACTTAGCTCCAAGAATAATTTTCACCGACAGTTCTGAGATGAGCTGCATGTTATTCTTGGATGCGCTTGTAGGACCGGCTTTAAAATCGCATGACAAAAATATCATACACATTAAAAAAAACTGCATCACCAACGTAGCCTGGACAACATTTGCTAGTTAGATGAAGTCAGCTATCTCATCGTAGCATATTTATATGCATATTTATAATTATACGGTTCTTGGAGTGAGTGCACACACTCATGAACTTCCGGTCACTGCAACAAGCCCAGGTACAGTTTACCGACGGATGGGTACAGGACCTTGAAATGCACCGTGTAGAAAGTAAAGACCATCGTACGTATCATAAGTTTACCAGTCTCACAAATCGTCGTCATAAATACACATTCGTTAACCGTTTATTAATAGGACCTTTGAGCTCAACGGTAATTAATTAGTAGTGGAAATAATTTCTGGTAGCATCACAGAAATGTAGCAGTGACAATAATACTGTATGCTGTAATCGTACTGGGCAATTAGTGATACAAAACAACTGTTTTATCCTGTGAATAAAAGTACATGTTTTTGTCAATGTACCATAATAACAGAAGCGAAACGCAATATTGTGTCAGGACAATTCACTATTTATGCACAATAAATAAAGGAGCAACAATTTCTGTTCAGCGCCAGACTTGCTTGTAACCTATATCACTAATTATGTTATGAAAATGACGTATTAACTACTAAAAAACACTGACCTTCGTGTAAATGCTTGAGCAGACTAACCTGTGAGCTGGAGTGTTCTGGGACGTTATATTTGATCTTTGAATGGCTGCAATCCAGACCATCCGTCGCCTCTTTGTTACTTCGGAAACATGGCTCGAACAATTTCTCTTCAGCGACGTAATCCGATAACAACCGATCTCTTTACCCGTCGGCTTCCCGTGGCTGTCATGTGACCGGCTATTGCAGTTAATAATACAACGGCTTCTTGACATTTTTGTGTTACTTTTTATCGCTGTGTGACTGATTTCAATTGAAAGCCTGCGTGCGCTAGTACCTCTTGCCACGAGTTCCCAGAATCCTTTGCGGTTTACCCCTGAATGACGTCACATTTTCAATCTCTATATAATATGCATGTTAAATTTTATATTTGGGGTGAAATATCAAGTCTTTTCAAGTCCAATTCAAGTCCCAGGTCATTGGTGTAAAAGTCCAAGTCAAGTCACAGTCTTAGAACATTTTTTCAAGTCAAGTCTAAAGTCATAAAATTAATGACTCGAGTCTGACTCGAGTCCAAGTCATGTGACTCGAGTCCACACCTCTGTCGTCTTGTAATCGGAAGGTTGCCGGTTCAAGCCCCGGCTCCGACAGTCTCGGTCGTCGTGTCCTTGGGTAAGACACTTCACCCGTTGCCTACTGGTGGTAGAGTGCACGGTGGCCCTAGTGTCTGGTGGATGACTGAATGTAGTGTAAAGCGCTTTGGGGTCCATAAGGACTAAGTAAAGCGCTATACACATACAGCCCATTTACCATTAAAACTAAAAATGCATGTGCGCATACAGGCACGTAGCATAGTAAAGGGGACGGTTCGCAATTTGATAGTAAACAGTGTTTTGTGTTGTTCTGCACGTTGCACAGGTCAGCTCTCTCACTCACGTTTAGGGTGGAGCAGTTTATAATGATGCAGCCCTCGAGTAAGACAACACCTCTGGTCCAACCTAACATCAGCGCCTGTGCTGATTGGTCCGACAAACTCAACAAGGTTCAGCAGTTGGCACCTGTCTCAGATACAAACTCAGGTTGGTGAATCACAGGCTGTCAGTGCTTCCAAAGTGTTTCCTGTTACAGACATTTCTTACACGCTGTCACACATCCATTTCCCCCTGTAGCTAGAATGACAACATTTCTTTAAGTTATTGGGAAGATCAGGACAAACATGAAATCATGCAGCTGCTCAGCGTGACGTCAG